TCTGCCCTTTGTTTGTTCTCTAGGGATTTAAAGTCTTCATTTCTACAAATAAGAGATGCTTTTGTTTCTTCTCCTCTTTCTTCTCCTTCATCTTTCTCTCTATCTGTCATTTTTCCATCAAAACCAGCGTAGGGAATCCTTTCTCTGCGATTCACCTGAGGCTTTCCCTCACTGAGGATGTCATAAACATCACAAAGTGTTCGTGGCATTTCACATGAAGCCACATTAACTCCATAAGGGCCAGACAGAAATCAGGTTCAGCCAGAAGGCATTGTATTTGGCCTGCAGACCATAGCACACTTCTGAATCAGTTATTTGGGTATGTAAGTGTCTTGCTCATATTATGCTCCAAACATAGTACCATGGCTTTGTTAACAGACCAATTTATAATGTTAGATGATGAGTATGGATGTGGATTTACTTGGATTAAAAGAAAGAGACCTGAAGAGCCAATACTCAGACCGTGACTCCGTGTGATACTTCCATGTTGGTGAGGTAAATCCCTGAAAGCCAATGGAACTGAAGTAATAAGGGTATTGGTGTAACCAGGTTGTTTGATGAATGATGTGCATTTCTTGTCCTAAGCTTTGTGTTGCATACCAGAAGAGATTGGTGACTATCGTGCTTAGAAACCATGAGCTCTTTGCATCAATGGATAGGGAAATGTCACTGTAGTGGGGAAAGAAGGCTGTATGAGGTACAGTGGGCTTTTCTTTCTCTGAGGAAGGGAAATGAGGAGAGAACTGGTGCTTGGTTTTCCCCTTTTTTTCCAGTACCCACATTGGGTATTGAAATACATAGTGGTCTCTTGATTTTGTAGAGGTTGAGTATCTGAGGAGAAGATGTCCCTCTAGCAGACATGACCAAGGAACAGCCATGTGGGTCTGGGGGTACTGCCACCCCACACAAACACGTGTTGGCTGCCTGAGTCTGCACAGAGCTGAGTTTTGGTGTTGCTGGTTACACAGCACGTCATCCTTGTCAGTCAGTGTTAGTGGGGCAAACTAAAAACTATCCCCTGGCTAATTCTACCAAAGGTGGGTTGGGTTGGGTTGGAGATTGAGAAAACAGCTGTGTAACAGTGCTGCAAGGTTTGGCATGCAAAGATTTACATTACCAGGGAATATTGTATCCCATTTATGAGCAGAACTCATTCTTTTACTAGAAGAGCTGTAGGTCACTTTCCAACATCTCTTCTGTAAAAGAGGCTCACTGAGCTGTGTGTGTGTTTACATGTTTATTTGCCTGTCTTGTTCACTTCCATAACCTTGCATACTCAGATTGAATATTCAGATTGGTCGTGCATATGTCTTGCATACGCACCCAAACAAACCAGCGAGTACCACCACGTAGGAACCAAGCCTGCTTTTGAGTTGACAAAGTTTTTCTGCCTGTCAAGTGCAATTACTAGCTTTCTTGGGTGGCTCAGTAATTTTTAAGGCAGATCTCTGCTACCTGCTGCCTGGCAAGATCTAGTAGTTGTTTGTATCAAACGCATCATGGAGGGGTACTGCATCAGCAGAGAATCGGCAGTGTCAGCAGCTACAGTATTTCTGTCAATCTTTCATTTAATTGCATTTGTCTCTTTGATAAAGAGCAACATTTTCACATCAACTGAGTCAAGCTGACATGGTCAGGATTTGACTAGATACAGCCAGAGGGAAAGTTTTGCTAAGCAGTTCATTGTACCCAGGGAAAGGTGCAAAAGTAGCTTTTCATCGTGAGGCTACAGTAGAACTGGGAAGAAATTATTAAACAGTGGTGCTAATTTGTGGACTGAGGAACTATAAATTATTTTCTTCATTAAAACTTACTCCTAGACAATTTGTTCCTCACCTCTGTATTTATTTTTAGGGTGAGTTTTTTGGTTGTTAAATATATGGAATGCAATAGTATTATCTGTGCAATATGTACTACTGCTGATTTTCTAAAGTCAGCTGAACTGAAAAGATGGAGGGAAGGATCATTTTAGATTGAAGATTTTCTAGCTCTTCTCACTTAAATGAAGAAATCATTCCCTTAATGCTGAAAAAAAATATTTAGTTTAATTCAGGGATGTTGTTTGGGTGTTAAACCACTATAAAGAACAGTTTTGAAATGAAATCCAGTTTAGTGTTTGGCTCTGTAATATTTGAACCATTTGAAAAATCTTCAGGTGTTTATGCTGGAAAATACAGGGTAGCATTGAGGAAAGTGAAACATTTGCCAAATTTAAAAGTAGCTAATTTTTTGAAATAATCTTTCTTTTTATAATTTATTAAGTGAAGCATTCCTTCAAAAATTGAGGAAACTCTAGTGGCCAAAGCTTCTAGCCACGTTTTTGATTCTATGTGGTAGGTGCCTCACAAATAGTGTGAGAAAATAGACAAGGCAGACAGTAGGTGAGAAATGAAGACTTTTGGCCAGGCTATGTGATTTTTGCCCTGCAGAGAGGCAGAGAAGCAGAAAAAAAAAATCTTATCAGCATCGTGGACAAGCGCCCTACTCACTGATCAGTTCGGCCATTGGGCAAGTACAAATGCTGTCTCCTGAGAAGATCTCATAGCCATCACTGAGTGGCTCTGCTTGAGGAACAAAAATAAATTTTCTGAACTCAACTGCACTGACGGGAAGAAGCAAAGAAAAAGTGTAGAGTTGAAGATATTTTGAGGGATAGATGTCTGTGAATTGCTTAGAGGTTTAGAGCACCCTTTATCCCCCCCATTTGAAAGTTCAAGAAACAGGGTTTTTCTTCTCCAAATCCTGTTTAAAGACAACCAGTAAGTTGGTGGTGGTCATGTTGTGTGAATGATGCTAAAGAAATTTTATCTCCTGCTTTTTGAGATTAAAGATGCGTGGGTCAAAGAGATCTGGTGGTGTTGACAGGGGTCAGTTTGTTGAAATGCACATTTCTCAAGAAGGGTTGCAATTTTGGGAACATTCGCTTGGGAAGGATCTCATAGCTCCAGAGAAAGAAAGATGCGTTCATTCAGAATATCACACTGCCTAGAGAGTTAGGAGACTTGTTATTTTTGTGGGGTTTTGCATATTTAAACAAAAATACTCATCACAAAACCACGATGGCATTCCTCCCCTCTCCCTCCATTGCAATTTGAAAATGTTAAAAAATCTCTGGATTCCCAGATTACAAAATAGCTTCCTGTCTAGTTCTCTCATCAGTGCATGTTGTTAATTTATTTGCCCTTCTAACCCAGGGATTTTTTTCTTTTTCCTTTCTTTGGATAACACAATTATTTTGGTCCTTGAAGAGTAGAGAATGAAGCCCTTCAATCTTATATATGAGTAAAGGGAAAGTCCAGGCCATTGCAGGGTGGGAGATAGATGTTATCAGAAGTCCTATACCATTGCTTTGGACGCAGTGTAAGCACCATGTCTGATCTAAAGCTGTGAACACAGACTGTAAACAGGAGTTCATTTCTGGATCCCTTTTTTTCTGTCAAAGCTTCTTCATTGTCCTTGCCTTCTGTTTCTGCACTCACCTCTGGTACTGGTATAAACACTTATCTTGTTTTTCTCCCTTACAAGTCAGTTTTCTATTTGCTTCCTAAGATCCTTCTGAATCCATCATCCTCTATGATCCTCCTTACCAAGTTTTTGCCACTTTTTCATAAAGATTTCCTCATATTCTCATGTAGCAAGTCAGAAAGGCTGGTTAGGTCTAAGCTGCTCTCCAGCACATCCCAGAGTGGAGAACTTCACCCAGTTCCCATTGTACTGGGCTTTAATTTCCCGAAAGATGACCAATCAGCTGGGCAGCTCCCTCAAAACTTCTCATCTTTTCCCTTCCCCAGACCCTTCTCGTCCTGCTCTTTAATGGCCTCAGTTTGTCAAGCCCTTTGCTCTTCCCTCTCTCCCCACATCATGGTTTCCTTGCTTAGAGGCTCTTCCTCCTGCTTCCTGGGTCAGTCTGGGTGCTCATCCTTTCTGAAATGCTTGCTCCCTCCTACCACTGGAAAATGAGGCTGTGGCCTCTCTTTTCTTCTGTGTCCCCTGGACGATCATAGAATCATAGAATGTTTTGGGTTGGAAGGGACCCCTAGAGATCACCGAGTCCAACCCCCCTGCAGTGAGCAGGGACACCATTAACTAGATCAGGTTGCTCAGAGCCCCATCCAACCTGGTCTCCATCCTTCTCTCCAAAGCTCTACTCTGCCCTGCTAAATTGTCCAGCCCAGCCCATCTGCATGAGGGGCTGAAAGATGTATTGCCTCTGTGCCTCGCTTTTCCCAGGCTGGATTCCCAACCCTTCTCTCAGTCTCCCCACTCTGCCTCTCCTCTGGGTCATTATTCGAGTTTCCTTTATTCCGACGCCTCCTTTCTATCAGACCATCTCCCTCATCCCAGCTTTTACTACTTCTCTTCTTTCTCAAGGCCATGCTCAGGATCCACAACTGCAGCTACAGGACTGGGTCCCTTCTTCCCCCTCCCTGTCTGAGCATCTCTGCTCATCCTCAGTTCCACACAGTCAAGGCAGGAATTGCTTCGCTTCACAAAAAGCCAGAGGAGTTATATTCATCTGATGGCTTTTCCTTTTCTCCCTGGCTCTAATTTGCAGCGAGTATTTTTGCAAAAGGAGTGCTCATCCCCGAAGCTAACAATAAAACTGACTGAGAGAGAGAGAGAAAGAGAGAAGAGGGAGGGAGGGAAAGCAATACAACAGTCTGGCAACGTGAGGCGGCATTGGAGAGCTGCTAGACCAGGGAAGCTGGCTAAGAGACGCAAGCCCCTTACTCCGGGCTCAGCGTGATCCCATTGGTTCCTGAGCTGCTGTTTTAAAGCAAAGAAGAGCTTGGAGGATTGAACTGCACAGCCAGACGCAGACTCTCAGCCAAGTTGTCAGCACGCTGGGAGGAAGAGAGGCGCGCGCACACACGAGATTGCAGGGTGTCCGCGGCTTGATGCTCATTTGTTTCCAGAAAGGAAGAAAGGAGAAGGGACAGGAAAAAAAAACAGAGAAGGGGGAAGGAGCCTGATCCAGTCCAGCAGTCCCGGGGACAATAATGGATGTGACCATATCTCAGTTCATCTTAGAAGAATTTGATGTCAACTGCAGCCTCCTGGATCGTTTACAAGAGACTTTTTTAGAGAGTTCTTCTATCCCTTTCCTGCGCTTCGATGGTAGGAAACATTACCTAGCACAGGGCTTGGAAAAGCTTGATAAGTGCTAAGATTCGTTTTGCTTTGTGATGCAAAGTGTGTCACTTTTGTGCTTTCTCAACTGCTTCTTTTTCCCTTTCTATCTCCTTTTTTAATGCAAAAGGTCCGTACTGCAATGCCACAACCGATCAGATCGGGACCTGCTGGCCCAGAACCTCTGCAGGGGAACTAGTAGAGAGACCCTGCCCAGAGTTCTTCAATGGGATCAAATACAACACCACAAGTAAGTACAAACTCCTTTCTGTCTCCCACAGATCTGGTGTTGAGAAGGCACCTGGGGAGACCCAAAATATATTTTCTATTAGAAAAAGAAAAAAGAAAAAAAAATGTTTGCCTGGGAATCAACATTTCCTCCACATTCCAGCCTGTATATTCAAAATTCCTGCCTGGAATGATGCAGATTTCTCAAAAGCACAGACTTTTGGACACCGATTCCTCTTTAATTAAGTGTATTTAGGTAGATGTGGGAAAAAATACCCTCTGCAGTCTACATACGGAGGGTACACTGTGCTTTGTGTGTTTGTTCATGTGTAGATCTGTGTAGCCGAATGTATTTGTAGCAGTGCTTCAGCCATTTAAATAATTAAAGATCCTTGTGAAGTACTTAGTCTTAACGCTTAAGAACTGTATTTTGAAAGGACGCTTGCTTTGCAAAGCTGCCTGTGTGAACAGGGGGACAAACTGGGCTGGAAGTTGTCTCAAACAAACAGAAGGCTGGGTCTGGAATCTGTTTAGGAACTTCATCAGAGCTTGGCTTATGAGGCTGGGGTGGCTGCATCGTTACTGCAAGGGAAACAGTAGCAGATAGTAGGAGGTAAATAATATTCAAAGCAAGGGAGTATGGGGGGTACTTAGAAATCTCTTGGAACTGATCCTTTAGTCTTAGAGGTAAACAATCATGATGACTCACTAACAATTTATTATTCAGGCTGTCGGACCCAGGCACTCATTTCCTTTCCCTTAGCTGTCAATACTGTTTGGACCTTTCATTAAGAGTTTTTAACGTATTAGTTCCAAATATGTATACCCGCTTGTTTGTCACTCATTTTTTCAGACTACTCAGTGTGCTTTTAACTGTGGGGACATTTCATTCTGTGTTTCACTCTGAACTGTTGCTCGGGTGTTAGGAGTCTAATTTTCAGGTAGTGTTAATTTTGTGGGGCTAGCATTCTCAACAAGTCCTGTGAAAGGATGACCCTGTCATCTTAGACCTTATTTTTTAACCTGTTGAAAGTGAATTTATTCTTTCCTCAGCTCTAGGTGTCAAGGGTCAGATAACTAGACAAAAGTTATGTGTATTTGCTATGCAAAACAAAGCCCTCTTCCAGATTTGTTCTTAGGGACCAGTTTCTCTCATCCTTGACTTTGAGCAGAGTAGGGAGGTTGCCTCAGGGACCTGCAACATCATCCTCAAACCCTATATTCTCTGACCTGTGCTCTTTGCAATTAAATAGGTGGGAGCATGCAAAGGGCTGGGTTATGCTGTCTTGAATTATAGCAGATAGTCCACCGCCTTTACAGTCTCAGTTGAGATCAGAAGAAAATTTCTGAGAATTAAGGCAGCTCACACAAGAGCAAGTGTATCAGAATGGACCTTAAAAGAACAGCCATAGAAAAGATACCGCAAGAAGTATGGCTTTTTTTTTTTTCCATTTCCTTTTTTTGGTGGAGGATGTCAGTATTTCCACTGCCTTATTTTTGTTTCTCCAAAAGGAAAGAGGGAAGGAAAAAAAACCCCAGAAATTCATTACGGATGATTCTTATTTATATCATAAACACAGTGTAGAGAATTTAAATGCTTTTCCTGTGCATAGAAGAAAAAAGCTCTTGAATGCCTTATTTTATTTTGATAAACTCTGTTAATGCTTTCAATAGTTTACCAATGACCTGATTTAAAGTTCTTCCCTGCTCCTCTCCTTCTCAATGGTGGCTAATGCTTGTACTACAGTGCTAATAAATTTTCTTAAATTCATTGCTCTTAAAAAAATGACATGTTAATTAAATTAAAGAAAAGACTGATGAAAATGTTATTGAAATTCTGAAGCATTATTTCACCATAGTCTGGGGAAATGGACATTTTTCTCCTTTCAACATAAATAAAATGTGAGTAGTCACATTGAGAAAACGTATGTCTGCAGGACTGATTGGGAGCGCATACTGGTGCCCAGATGTCGTAGCGTCTATAGCTTGCAAAGGAGAACTAAAATACACCAAAGCCACTGTAGATGTCTTTCAGTTGATCTTATATTCTTCCATATGTGTTCCTCCAAGTTGTGGCACAGAAAAGGAGGGGAAGGACTATACCGAGATTTGAGTCGTCTTGTAAAATCAGTAGCTTCTTGGGAGACAGTAGTCGGTGATTAAGGCTTGGGAAAGCAGTGGAACAGCAGGTTAAGATTCGAATATAGAGGTAAAATCTCTTTTGTGATTTGAAAGATGTGGCAACCAGTCCATGCAGAACACGTCCAAAGTTTGGGAAGGCCAAATACTGACATAGCCTGATTACTTGCGTGATTTCACCAAGTTAGTTTGTGGGATGACTAGAGAGCCACTTGTAGTGGGCTTCAATGTGCTAAAACCCTAGACTGCGCACTTCATGCAGATAATAAAATAAGCACAGACAACTGATAAAAAATGGGAAGTGGATCTTGCAAATTTTGGAGGCGGATAATCCGGCTGCAAAATGAAGGTTTGATCGGGAGATGGCTTGGATCACCATAAGATGTCTGCCTCAGACATGTAGTGTATTTTTGTCCTGTTTTGTTTTGCACTTTGATGAGGCAAAGGCAAAAATGACGATGTGTAATATTGTACTGAATTGTTTTTGAGAGCAAAACCAGACAAGTTTAGAAAGTGCAGTGTGCAATGCCTTTCTTTTACTAAGGGCTCATCCAGTTCTAGGTCGTAACTCAGCTATTTATTATACTGTCATGGATCCCGTGTTTGTGAGCTGCCACATGTAGGAACTATAGAATACCTTTCGTTTGGTTTTGTATGGCTGTGAGTATATTTTTCATTCTAATGTGTATAAAATTTTTGGATCCATTTCAGTAATTATTTTTTTTTTTAAGAAATGAAGACCTCAAAGATTCCAGGTTCCTACCAGTTTCATAAATGTAGCTCAACAGGTGGAGGGAATGAACCCAGTAGCATTCCCTGAAAACAAAAGCTTTTGCATTGTAGATACTAGAAAATCCAGACTTGGAAGTGCCTGAACTGTATGAAAATTTTATACCAGACCCAGTCAAGCACAAGATGCTGATCCATGGCAAACCAGGCTGCCCAAGTTCTGGTACTCATGGGGCTATTTCTGTGCCTTTTTGCAATCTCTGTGCACGTAGTGTATGGAATTCAAGACGAAGTGCAACAACTAGGTCGCTCCACAGATCAGCACATCAAAGTCTTTGGATGGACCTACCCTGGCTTGGTATCCATCTCGTCAACTATCATGATTATCACACTGTCTAACTCAGAACCGCTGATGGGGAATGCTATCAAACCCTGCAATATGCCAGCAAAATTTAACAAAAAGGCATTTGAGTCAAAAAAACCTAAGAACAAGAACTAGTGTATAAAAAAATCCCCTCCTGTTTGCCACTATAGAATAAACTGTTTGCATAAAATATTTCCATTCTAACTGCAAAAAAATTCCCATGGTGATTTTGTGCATGTGTGTCTATGTTTCTGTTTGTCTCTTGGGAACTGCTGAGTGACTCAGATAAGTTTCAGCTGGATTCGTAAAACAAAGTCTGTCAGTCTGTGAGGTTTTTTCAGCTCCGACACTTTGGTGATTTTTTTTCTCCTTCTTTCTTTGGGAAATAAAATCGTGATGACAAATCAAGATCTGGTTACCCTGTAGTGTGATTTGTGAATGGAGGCAAAATGTTCTTTAACCAAGGGTCTGAAAATGATGCCATCCACTTACAACTTTGCAGTTTTGCAGCAAAGCTTATGCATTCCTCTGAAAGGGCGGGGGGGAAGGGGAAGATGTGTGTGTTGGTACAGTGTGTGGCTGTGCACTTGTCTCTGCTCAGGATCTATATTTAGCTAAAGATGACAATAGCATTGCTGCCCTCTAGATGTGTTTATACTTTGACAGTGTGCAGCTTTTATTCCTGTTGTAGGAAACAGATTAATTCGCTTATTAGGATATCCTGAGGCTTGATTAATTCAGCAAATGGGCAGCAATGAGACTCTTTTTGCTGCTTGCAAGAACGTGGTTGCACATGTAAGTACTTACACCACGTTACAGGTTAAAGTATGTCTACTTTAACTCTTTCCTTTCCCGACAAATTGCCCTGTGCAATGAGTAAATCCAGGTGTTCATCTGATGGACAGTAAGCGTTGTCTCTTGTAGCCTTAGCTGTCTGATCTGAGTTTATCTACAACAGCAGAGGGGTAGTCTATGGTGAGACCTGTCCATCAGGGGCTGGTCGGTTTGGTTTGGAGGTGGAAGCATTGGAAGGCCTCTGGCTTGCAGATTAAGACACACAAATCTAGGTATTTCCATGTAGGTATGAACAGCTAATTTAAGTATCTAAGCTGTCATACAGGTTAGTGGAGCTCTAATTGATATAGGGGATGAAGCCTAGAGAGTTACTCAGCTCAACCTAAATGTACAGATCAGTTCAGGAGCCCATGCAGAAGTGCTAGTGCTGTTTGATATGTCCAGGGCTATCTTGCCTGGTATCTAGTTCCTGCTTCTGAGGGCCCAGGCCTTGCGTAGGTTTGTGTTTTACCTTCCAGGCCACATAGGTGTTGCAGATAGATACTCTTAAGACAAATGATACAATTCCTGTGTTTAGGCAGCTGAATTCATGCCTGGGTGTCTATTGAGCTGCACTAAACCCACGCCTGGGGATTGACATTAGGAGGCCAGACTGCTTTCATGATCAACAAGGAACAAAAGGTCCCTATAGCTCTAATGCCCTCTCTGCAAATTCCCATGCCCCTCTCTCTCAGTATAGAAAAGCTCTTTGACTGAGATAGCCACTTCAAATTAGTGTTTTGGGAAAAACTGGTAACCATGCACTGATGGTGATTTGGTCCCTCCTTGCCTACTCCTTGTTCTGAGGGTACATACACCACGATGTACACACCGTGTCCAGGGGTGCATCAAGCACAGCATAGCCAGCTGATTAAGGGAGGTGATTGTCCCACTCTGCACTGCACTGGTGCAGCCCCACCTCAAGTACTGGGCATCAAACTATGATAGTGTGTCCA